TTAAATTTGTAAAAGAAAGATGTTTATGCGCCCCCTGCTTGACACTCCACACTAGGGGTGAGCATTTGGACCGGTGGACCGGACCGGACCGTTTTTCTGGACCTCCGGGCCAGTTCTCGGTTCTAAGAATTCATCAAAACCGGTCTGGTTTTTTTCCCGGTCCGGTCCGATTTTTACCGGGTTTACTAGGGGTGAGCATTTGGACCGAACCGGACCGGCTATGGAGAATATTGTGGACCGTGGACCGGACCAGATGAGTCGTGTCCGTGTCCGTGTCCGGGTCCAGGTCTGGGTTTTCCTGTTCTTGGACCCGTTTGGACCAGTACAACTTTAATTGCATAGAGTAAAAGTCGTTAAAATACGTTTTTGGTTTTGATAGAACTCGTGAAAACGAATATGTTATTGGGTTTGATACGATACAACTTGTAAAAATGATTACGTTTCCGTTTCATTCATAACTAATCTACCTTGATGTTGTAATATTATAACTTGCAAAATTAATTTTCCAAATAAAAGAAACTAACATATAAATCAAGTTCACCAAGATCCCTTTCATATAATTTATCTGTCAAAGATACATAAAATTTAGAATTATAGTCTAAAATGATAGTTAAAAAGCTGAAATATTTCAACTTTGATAGCTCATATTTGAAGGATTGTAACTCACTGAATATAATACCAAAATCAACAAAATTATAGTCTAAATTCATCCACAAAACTGTAAACTAAATGTTGAAAAAAATAGCAGGTCAATCCGACTTAAAACGAATGAGTTATGGTTGTTTAAAAAATTTCACAGATTACAAAATTTTAAAAAATCTTGCTGAAAAGCTGAAATTTTTCAGCTTTGATAGTTCAACTTTGAAAGACTGTAACTCATTTAATATAACACCAAAATCAACAAAATTATAGTCTAAATTCATCTACAAACTGTAAATTAAACGTTGGAAAAAACCGCTCGTCAATCCGACAGAAAACGAATGAGTTATGGTTGTTTAAAAATTTTCACAGATTACAAAATTTAAAAAATATTGCTGAAAGCTGAAATTTTTCAGCTTTGATAGCTCAACTTTGAAAAACTATAACTCATTGAATATAATACTAAAATCAACAAAATTATAGTCTAAATTAATCTACAAACTGTAAATTAAACGTTGGAAAAAACCGCGTGTCAATCCGACTTAAAACGAATGAGTTATGGTTGTTTAAAAATTTTCACAGGTTACAAATTTGTTTTTTTAAATCGGGTCCAACCGGTTCTAAACCCGGTAAAAACCGGACCGGACCGGGAAAAAAACCGGACCGGTTTTGATGAATTTCTATAACCGAGAACCGGCCCGGGGGTCCAAAAAAACGGTCTGGTCCGGTCCGGTTCACCGGTCCAAATGCTCACCCCTAGGGTTTACAACCGGTTGGACCCGATTTAAAAAAAGAATTTGTAATCTGTGAAAATTTTTAAACAACCATAACTCATTCGTTTTAAGTTGGATTGACACACAGTTTTTTCCAACTTTTAATTTACATTTTGTAGATAAATTTAGACTATAATTTTGTTGATTTTGGTATTATATTCAATGAGTTAGAGTATTTTAAAGTTGAGCTATTAAAGCTGAAAAATTTCAGCTTTTCAGCAACATTTTTAAAATTTTGTAATCTGTGAAAATTTTTAAACAACATAACTCATTCGTTTTAAGTCGGATTGACACACGGTTTTTTCCAACGTTTAATTTACAGTTTGTAGATGAATTTAGACTATAATTTTGTTGATTTTGGTATTATATTCAGTGAGTTACAATATTTCAAAGTTGAGCAATCAAAGCTGAAAAGATTCAGCTTTTCAACAATATTTTTAAACTTTTGTAATCTGTGAATTTTTTTAAACAACCATAACTCATTTGTTTTAAGTCGGATGGACCTGCGGTTTTTTCCAAAATTTAGTTTTTAGTTTGTAGATGAATTTAGACTATAATTCAGTTGATTTTGGTATTATATTCAGTGAGTTACAATCATTCAAAGTTGAGCTATCAAAGCTGAAACATTTCAGCTTTTTAACTATTATTTTAGACTATAATTATGAATTTTATGTATTTTTGACAGTAAATCATATGAAAAGGATCTCGGTGAACTTGATTTATATGTTAGTTGCTTTTATTTGGAAAATTAATTTTGCAAGTTATAATATTATAACATCAAGGTAGATTAGTTATGTATGAAACAAAAACGTAATCATTATTACAAGTTGTATCGTATCAAACCCAACAACATATTCGTTTTAACGAGTTCTATCAAACCCAAAAACTTATTTTAACGACTTGTACTCTATGCAATTAAAGTTATACCGGTCCAAACGGGTCCAAGAACCGGAAAACCCGGACCCAGACACAACTCATCTGGTCCGGTCCACGGTCCACAATATTCTCCATAACCGGTCCGATTCAAGAGCTGGTCCGGTCCGGTTCGGTCCAAATGCTCACCCCTATTCAACACCATCAATCTCACCCTAAAAAAACCACAGAATTGTAATAATAATTAATAAGAAATATAAAATGCAGGACAAAATATTTTATTTTACATGGGTTCAATCACGGTTGAAAATGAAATCACACAGCATGAAGGTTAGGGACCAAATGTGTGACAAAATGGTACCATAGGGATCAAAAGAGCAACAAGAATTTCCTTTTTGGACCAAATTCGTAATAAGCACCATACCACAGGGACCAATAATGTAATTTACTCTAAAAAGCCATGACTTCTTCTCCAAAGGAAAATTCCTTTACAGTTTACACACACAATGAAAAAGAAGCTATGGAGGTACATATTCTCATGGGACAAAGACTAGACTTGTGGATGCCACTCTTGACTCTACCCATCATATATAATGCCAAGGCACTGAAACATCTAATTCATGATACAAACATTCAAACAAATAATCGTCGAACTGAAACTAGAAGATATATTTGAAGCAACAAAATCGTGTAAATTGTATGCTAGCTAACATGATCATGTGATAATGTACAATACATACAAAACATGAATTCATACCTTAAAACTGCACGCTGGTAATATCTGGTGCACCATCCTCAATCAATCTCTTTAACATCAACAATAACTTTGATCATAATCAACTATTATATTAATTGCACATGGCTGATTTCTGCCATTAAAGCGAATTTTCAGATATGGCCCCTACTACATGCACTTCATTCATCACATATATATAGCCAGTACCAGTGTCTATTCATATATATAGGCATGTAAAAATATTTCATGAGTATACCTCTCTAATATTGCTAGTGATTTTTGTTGACCAACAAATTTTGAGACCTGAAATTAATATTGTTCATCAATCGCAATCTACCGAAAGCCCTAGTTTGACACTCACATCAACTTTTACTACAAATAAGAATTAATGCGATCAACGTAATGGAGGCCTCAGAATCATTATTAGCAGTCAAAGCAAATGCAGATGATGATCATTCACAATCACAAGTAGAATCAGTAAACTGCGAATGCTGTGGATTCACGGAAGAATGCACCTTATCTTATATTTCTCAGATCCGACAACACTACAATGGAAGATGGATCTGCGGCCTGTGCGTGGAGGCCGTCAAGTACGAGATTTTGAAATCGGAGAATCTTATAACCACCGGAGAAGCATTGGAGAGACACATTGCTTTCTACGAGAAGTTCAGATCATCTTCTAGGCTTCCGTTCAGTGACGCAGTCGGAGACCATCCTATATTGGCGATGGGGAAAATTATGAGGGGGCGATTCGATTCTCCTTCTCCGAGAGGACACCGATCAGCTTCGACCAGTCCTGACCGGAATTGCGCCGATGAAGACGTCGTTTCTTCTCCGTTGAGGTATAAAAGTAGGTGCAAATCCAGATGAGTGTAATGGTCTCTAATACGTTTGTTTTGCATGTATCATGTATGTCAAATGCAGTGGCGGCCTGGGGTGGTGCCGGCGGTGCGGTCGCACCAGGCCTCCGATTTTAGGGGGCCTCCGATTCTTAGGATAATTTATAGTTATAGTATTGGTATTTTTGTAAAATATATTTTTATGTTTTATCAATAAATAAAATTAGCCCCGTAACATTTGGTTCCAATTTTAGATGCGTTTTAATTATGAAAAAAAAATCAACAAAAATCAAAATCTAATTATAAATTTAAAATTTATCAACAATTTAAGGAAAATATTTATATCAAAAAAAAATTCAAATTTGTTTTCTTTATAAATTTTAGACAACGTTTTTATATTTTACAAACTCACCAAAAAGTAAGAAAAACTCAAACCCTACCAAACCTAGAAATTGTGTTACTCGTCTCTTGTCTTTTGGCTTTTGCTGTTCGTTGACTGCTTACTGCAAATTAAGGTTAGTATTTCATCTCTTTTAATTTTCCAACCATGCTTGTCGCTTGACTGCGATGCTTTGCTTTCTGTCTTTCTCTCCATGTTTAATGCTCCATAAAGTTAATGAATAATGAAACTGTTGGTTTATTTTTTTATGTATTGGCTTGATAGGTTTTTTTATGTCCTGATCTATCTATATTTTATTATATATTGTTTTAGGTTTTGCTTTTTAGCTTTTTCAATATTTAGGGTTATAGGTCACATTGGTCAAAAGTAGGGCAATAGGTGATGTACGAATTTAGGGATGGGTTGTGCATGGCTTTTAAATACATATATATTGTATTATAATAGATTGAGAACCAAAATTTTAAGTATTTTTTTGATTTGACAGTTATTTGTTTTTACTTTTAGCATATTTCATTTGAGTTTACAGTTTTCGAATTTGTATATTTGAATTGAATTCTTTGAATACATATTAGTGGTTTGGGTATTTAAATCATATTAGTGGATTAGTTTTAACAGTTAATACCCATGTTAAGTTAAGTTGTTCAAATGTCCTAATTGTTTAAAACATTAAATTTTTAATAAATATTTAAAAACATATATTTTAAAGTTATTAATATAGATTTTTTTTATTTAAGAAAAGCATGGCTCCAACTAGAAAATTTGAATCGGGCTCTTCTAAATGTAAAAGAAAACAGAAAGAAGCACAATTTATTGATAGTCAAAGAGGATCTATGGATTCATTTAGTATCAAAAAAGTGTCGGAATATCATCTCAATGAAGAATCGGTTGGGGAAGAACATAAAGAAAAAGAAGAAGCCGAATTGCATGTGCCAGAAAATATGGATGAGTTACATGAAACTGTAGAAGAACCTAGAGAAGAACTTCACAATGTTGTGGAAGAACCTAGAGAAGAAGAAGTTGAACTGCAAGTGCCATAAAATATGCCTTGTGTAGATGAAGACATAGACAACTTGAACGACAATGGTTGAAGTCAATGAATACTAGCGAGTTAAAGTCATGTTGCAAAAATCTGGAAAAGTGGCTGTAAAATGGTCATATCTCAGACATTGATGCTGATGATTTATTCAACGAACCGGAGATGTTACAAAAACATTTACCGGTTGAACACAATACAGCTAACGGAATACTAAATTTCCTAAAAATGATGAACACTTATCCAGTTTCTTGTCTAGTATACAGAATATTGTTGACTGTTCCTATTACAGTTGCATCAGCGGAAAGAAGCTTTTCAAAACTAAAGCTTTTAAAATCTTATTTGCGCTCGACCATGTCTCAAGAGAGATTAAACGCTTTGGCATTGATTTCGATTGAGAACGAGTTTCTTGAGAATATTGATTATGAAAGTCTCATAGATGAATTTTCTTCTAAAAATGCTAGAAGGTCAATGTTTAGAAAATAGTAATGCGTTGTTTTTTTTTGAAAAGTTGTTTATAACAGTTTTACAGTTTTATTTGATTACTAATGAGTGATGAAGACATTATTTTGTGGTGGTGAATTTATAAGATGTTTTTTAGCAACTTTATGTTTTGAATTAGTGGTAGCAAATGTAGTTAATAATATTTACAAGAAATTTTTATGGGGCCTGATGTGTGTAAAACGAACTAGTTTTAATCCTACTTAATAAATTTAAATTAATCACACAAAAGGCAGTGGACCTGTCTATTGGTGGTATAGTTCTAGTAAGCAGGGTATCGAACTCAGGGAACGGCAATTTAAACTAACTACTAAAATTATCTAATAGCAACTAACAAATAATAAAAGAGAGGGTTTTCTCTAGTTTTACAAGATTAGAAACTTACTAACTAATACTCAAACTAATTAACTAAAAACTAGATAAGCAAAGATTCGACTAAATTCAAATATGAAGGAGACTTCTGTTTAGGTTCAACTCAATTGATCCTATGGTTGATTTTATGGTAATAGTGCAATGGATTAATTCTTCTATTGGCTACCGATTCAGGTGATTAGGTTCACATTCGCTACACTAATCCTTAGAAAACAAACTAACTCAAACAGTGGCCAGTTGTCTAAATTAATTTAATTCCCTAGGTTATTTATTCGGGTTAATTAAGACTTGTAATGGTTAACTAAATTGGCCCTTTAGTTAACCTCTTGTTGATGGTTCATCACACAAGCTCACACGTAAATTTACCTATTTTCTTATTAATTCTAGTTTCACATTCGCTAATCCTAGTCATATAATAAAGTGTTCACATAAATTATACGAGGTAAACAATTAAGAGATGTTCATGCAACTTAATTATCTTCCTATTAACAGAAAAATAGTTATCCTTCACACATAAGGTTCTTTAACAAGCTTAAATTAACAAAATCACCAATATTAAACTAATCCTACCATAAATCAAACCATAGTCTCAATATTGTCTCCCCAAACAGAAGTTAAAAGGTTTTAGCTCATGATTGAGGCAATTGAAAGCATAAAAACGAAATCTATATGTCTATTCATGATGAAAAACGATAGATTGAATTAAGAATAATGAAAATTGCCTCTAATCTCCTTCTGAATCGGATTTAGGGTTGGATCTTCGTTCTCTAGGTCTTCTCTGACTTTAATTCGCAGCTTTTTTTTCCCCAAGGGTTCTCTCTCCCCCTTGTATCGATCTGAAAAGCCGTATTTATAAATTCGACCCGACTCGCCGAGTCCATGACCGACTCGTCGAGTCCATCACTTAATCCCCGTGTACGGCAAGTTAAGGATTCCTCAGCTTCGCGAATCTTCGTAGCGACTCGCCGAGTCGATGTAAGACTCGCCGAGTTCCTTCCATTTTTTGGTCTTTTCTTCTTTTGATCATTCCAAAACTTCCCGATGGTTACTCCTGCTTCTTTTTGCTTCCGAGCATTCCTTTTTTGACTGAAAACATAATTCACCACTTTTAAATATCTTTTGTCCATAATATGCAAATAAATAGCTAATAAATGATAAAAATCAATATCAAATAAAGGGCTAAATATGCACATACCAGGGCCTCATTTTAGTTTTTGCACAAGGCCTCCGAAATGTCAGGGTCGGGCTTGGTCAAATGCTATTCAAATTACTACAAAATAATGGAATGTAGTATTAATTAATAACTAATAATTAGTAAAGTTAATAATCATTAATAGATTTCATTTCATCATTGTTAGGGGCTGTTTGATAGCCTCTTAATTGAAAAATTAAGAGGCAATGTCTGAACTTTTAAGATTTAGAGTGTTTGGAAGAGTATGAAAAAAGTCTCTTAATTCTTCAGAAACCTCTTAAAGTTTCAGATGTAATATTACATTTGAATTAAAAAAAAGATGCGTCTGGCCCTTGCCCTAATAAAATTCCAGCCGCTTCTTTTTTTCCTTTATTGACCCTCATCTCCTTTCTTTTACCTCTCGATCTGCAATAATCGCTGGTGTTCTCCCCACTGCCATTGACGCAGCTGCTGCCAGTTTAGACGCCTCCTTCAACAACTCCGACTATTGCAGGTAAGGTTTTTTCCCCCTAAAAAACCATTCCCAGCACATACATCGATTTCTTCATCTCGTTTCAGGTAAGTCGAAAAGCTGAGAGGATTTCGTCGTCGGTTCTCCATTCTCCCCCGCCTGTTACATCCCTCGACGTCTGCCATTCCTCCTGGTGAGTAAATACATCCGAAATACAGCCGGAAATCGATTCTCAGTAAATACATCCATTTTTTCTTTTTCTTTTTCCCCTGAATTCGGTTATAAGTTCATATATTGTTTTTTTTTTCCCCGAATTCGACTATAGTGCATAAATATTTATATGTCTGTTCTTTATTCTTCTTAAATTTAACAATGTTGTGATATTTTTGCTGATAAAATATGAAATTTGATAATATTGCTAAAACCATATGTTTGTTGTTTGCTTGATGAAATCTGAAATGTGATAATGTTGATGAAATCATATGCTTTTTGCTTGTTCTTTATTCTGAAATATGATAAGGTTTTGCTGATGGAGTTTAATCATGTTGTACCTTTTTTATAGTTGAAAGAATCATGAAGCTCTTGAGTTGGAACTTTTAATTGTTTTTGGGTACAACAATTAAGAAAGAGGTTTGTCTTTTGTGATATGAAATCTTTATTTTCTTGTATTATTGCAATGAGTTACTTTGGGTATAATGAAGAAATGATAGTGTCATGTTTGATTTGGATTTATGTTTAATTTTCATTTATGTTTAATCTGGATTTTATATAGTGTTTGTATATTTTTTTTTTACAATTATTCAAGAAGTTGATTCGGTTATTTTATAAACAAAAACGTTAAATTCAGCAAAAAATAACACAAAAGGGTAAAATGGTCATTTTTATAATTCAACAATGCAATTTAGAGGTTCCAACCAAACAACATTTGAAAATTCAGATCTTAAAAATTCAGACCCTCTTAGAAATTCAGATCTCTTAAAAATTCAGCTCTAAAAAATTCAGATCCTGCCAAACAGCCCCTTAGTCTTAAATTTATTGTTAGAAAGCTGATTATCTCATACCACATTTGATTTTCCATGTATATATGGTTCATTTATTTATTTTTATTTTTAATCAAATAAAACACTATAACACATATATAGTTATCAATCAAAAGGCTTCTAGCTAGCGTTATCAGATGTTGTCCTTCTATTTAAGGTCCACTGTCCAAGTCTTATTTGGAACATATGTAAAATTTGGAATAGTTAATAAGTAGATTGAATTTTCCTGTTAAAAAAAGCAAAAGCAAAAGCACGTAGTTATCAAAAATAAAATACAAGTTTATAATATCATCCATTAATGTCCTATTGCAACTACAATTAAAGCATGTGTATATATAATCTTGATCAAAACAAATTCACTTTGGCAACACGATTTTTTTTTTTAATAAAAAGTTGTATTATAATATCTTATTAACATATTATAACTGCATTAATAGATTGCCACGATTACCATATTGTTGCTAGTGGTATGTCGACATTCGTAGAAGGCTTCAGTTCCTGAGGGTGTGAGACCAATAGTTAGGACAGTTACTAGTTGAAAACCGGACAGTTACTAATTGAAAATCGAGAGCTGATGCAATATAACCAATTTGAGGAGGTAAGCATGATAAAGAGCCTTGAGATTTTCCAACATCAATGTTGGTGGTGTGGAAGTCCTTAATGAAGGACAAGTTAGGGTTACAAGTTTTCATGAGAATGAAATCATGATCATTGAGTAAACATAAAGTTCACTAAAGACAGTGAGATATTTGCATACGATGATGGTAGATTTGAGACCATGTATACGTCTGTAAAGGGAAGAGATAAAAAATATAACAAGGTCTTTGTTTTTGATTGGTTCGTCAATGGTTGCAAAACCATCATCATATTCTTATTCACAGTTAAGGCAAGCATTTTCTATTCCATCATCTTTCATCTTGACTTTTAGAATTTCTTCGGTGTGTATTCTCTAGAAGATGAATGTAGTATATATGCTTGTTTCAACGTAATCCATGGATCATGATAATTGATACATTATATATGAAGAAATGATGCTTCAAATATAGACGAGATAATCAACATGCAGACATACGCATCACTGTAAATATGGATCATGTAATTACTATTATCTCTTGGACCTATTTTTGGATCGACATTGGAAACAAGTGGAGTGATATTTTGGGTGTAGGTACAAGGAATTATGTTGTCTATGTAGCTAAATAGGGTATGTATAAGGATGAAGGGATCAATCATGGCCTTCTAGTAACCATAGTTGGTTGGAATGAGTTTAAAGACGAGACTATGAGAGGTTTTCTCTATAGCGTTGCAGTTGGCGAGAAGAACCATGGCTATTCATTAAAAGAGGGAAGATATAGTGATGATGAATAATTTCATTCGACAGTAATTGTGAATAGTGTCAATGGACAATAACTGTGAATAGTGCCAATAAATGGTACATATAAATAGTA